CCCGCCGCCGAACAACCCCCTCACCCTCGTCCTCTCTCTCGCTCTCTCTCTCGCTCTCTCTCTCTCTCTCGCTCTCTCTCTCTCTCACTCACGTCCACACCCTTTGGCATCCATGCGAATCCTCGTCGTGGGCGGCGGCATCTCCGGCCCCACTGTCGCCCTCGCCTTGCGCCGGGCCGGCCACGACGTCGAGCTCTTTGACCGCGTCCTCGACTTTCTCGACACCCCGCCGGGCCTCTTCATCGGCCTGAACGGTATGCGCGTCCTCAAGCACCTCGGCCTCCTCGACCAAGTCGTCCGCGCAGGCAGCGTCTGCGACGGCACCGACCTCCGCACCATCGCAGGCGACGCCGTCACCCGCGTCCGCCACTCCCACCGCGCTGACCTCTTCAGCGTCACGATCCTCCGCACAACCCTCTCCCGCATCATCACAAACGCCGCCGTCACCGCCGGCGTCCGCGTCCACACCAACAAGCGCCTCGTAGCCATCTCCCAACCCCCCGACGGATCCCGAGCCCTCGGCGTCGTTGCCCGTTTCCACGACGGCTCCGAAGCCGCTGGCGATATCCTCGTCGGCGCCGACGGTGTCCACTCCACCGTCCGCCAATGCCTCTTCCCATCTCACCGGCCCCCGCAACCCTATGGCATGGTCGGCTACGCCGGCACCGTCGACCTCCCCGCCCATACCTCCGCCGTGACCGCCCACCCCTGGCCCGCAAGAAACTACCACTTCTTCACCGACAACGCGAACGCCCGCTCCGCCATGCTCATGCGCGTCGCAGACTCCCAGCTCTCCTGGCGCCTCGTCGAGCTGCGGCCCGCCGAAATCTCCCTCGAAGACTGGACTCCCGCGCGCCGCCTCGACCTCTCCAAAGACCGCGACCGCCTCGCGGACATGGCCGACCGCTGGCGCCTTCCGCCGGCATTCCGCCCGCTGGTCGCAGAAGCAAACGAGATCGTCCCGCTCAGCTTCTACCACATGGACGCCGGCCCGCTCCCGCGCTGGGCCAGCCAGAACTGCGTACTCATCGGCGCCGCAAAACACGCCATGCTGCCGTTCCTGGGTCAGGCCACCGGCGTCGCGCTCGAGGACGCCGAGGTGCTCGCCGCACTGATCGCACGCGTCCCCGACGACCCGCGTAAAGCGTTCCGGCTGTACCAGCGCGCGCGGTTTCGCCGCGTCAAGAGGATCGCCGAGGCCGCCCGCGTCCAGGGGAGGAGGCAGTACGCCACCTCCGCCCTCGGGTCGCTGTGGGGACAGGTGGCACTCAAGTTTGTGGTCGCGACCGCAGGGGCTCTGGCGTCGCACGAGGTCTTTGCGTACGACGGGTTGGAGGCCGTGAATAACGTACTCTACAGAAACGGGCTCGTGTAAAGTTTTTTTAATTTTTCCATGCTTTTTTTTTTGGGCTGCATCTGCATTTAAACCTTCTGCCCCACCCCTCCTCATCCTATATACTGTCGAAACTTGGTTATAGAAAGTTTCGCTGAGCTTCTTGCTCGTGTTGTTAAATAGTTTTCGCATACTTGGGTTTCTCCTTCTTGTGGAGCCCGATTGCTCTTTCCGTTTTACTCTGGGTCTTTTTTTTTTCTTCCTCTATTCCTCTTCCCAAACGAACTTTGAATGTTTCATACCTCCCACCTGGGTCTCATCACTCTCTCTATCTCTCTGTGATCTTTGAAAAACTTGAACGTCATAAACGTAACAAGAAAAAGAACTCGAAGAAAGCCTTTTTTGCCGAGACTCTTTTGCCGGCGTCTTGCCAAAGTCATCCACCGAAAACAAAAGTTTACAGAAAGCTTCAATCCTTCAGTATACCCGCCACCGTGGCCCCCGCCGTAGTACCCTCCTCCGCGACCCCCGCCGTGATACCCGCCGCCACCGCCGCCGTGCCGCTGCGTAGCCTCCGCGTCATCATCACTTCCGTCGCCGCCGACCTGGCCTCCCCGCTGAGTGCCGCTTCCTAGGCAGGGTTATGTTGGTACAAAATATGCGATGCCTGCACGTCCTCGAGTAGCTTGGCTTTTGTTATAAATCCACCAGCCTGTAGCCTTGTGCGAAAAGTGTGAAACTCATCGGCTGCAGGCAGTGTCTTGCAGATCGCATAGGGCACGAGAGATGAGAAGCAATTTCGTGCACTTACAGCTGACTTAGGGTCATGTGGGCTTGCCCCTCCAGGAGCAAAGCCTCGCGCTTCTCACCCCCAACTCCCCAAGTACCTGAAACGGCAACCACTGTATTCTGCCCACAGTGCACCCTGCATGTGTTGTGCTCTAATTTGATGCCAAGCATGCCAGCAACTTGTGGTGCGAGGCAATGAACTGCTAATGTTGTTGGACACTTGGCTTCCTGCTTGTGATGCAGCAATTCCCCCTCTGGCAGAGCAACAGAGGTTACCACTAACCCCATCCCATGTTTGATGATAATGTTGCTGAGCAGGAAAGGCTAGGCTAGGGTGGTGGCAAAAGAGCAAAGTTCTGTCATTGAGCATTGCATGAAGTGAAGCTGGCACATGAATTAATCAGTGAAATCCTCGAACCAATTGTTGAACCACCCCACTCCCAATTAAAGGAGGATGAAGGCTGTGCCCCCCGGACTTGGAGCAGACTTCCATGAAAAACTGCCCAGCAACTGCAAATGTTTTGGCCCAAAAATGCCCTTTGTGATGTGGAGAATGCAGAGAAGTGCATTATCTGCATAATTTTGGGGCAGATTCTTCAAAAATCAGGTCTCTGCGACCCACAAATACAGATGTGTGTGACCTTCTGCCACCACAGACTTGCCATCCTGCAGAGTGGAGAGTGCAGATGTTGGCTAACCGCATTGGCGGTCGAAAGTCCGAGTACGTCCCGGCTGTTGCGTACCAGAGCAGAAGCGATACGAGGTCCTTGAGAGCACTGCCGACGTGAGAGTTCCGGCGAAGGCAAGTGGGGTCGCCGTTGTAGACTCGAGTCACGTACGTGCCGTCGATTTTCGATGTCGCAGTCGGCGGGTTGAGGGATATATTGTAGTCGCCGCGCTTGAAGGGGCCGTCGGCGAGGCAGTCGGCCGGCGCATTTCCGTGAGCGTAAAAGGCTTTCGCAGAGTGGGTTGCGGTGAAGTCGCCGAGCGAGAGAGTGGAGTGGTCCGTGATTGGCGTGGAGGCGTCCATACCCTGTCCCGACAAGGGCCTCTTGGAGATCTGCTTCATGGCGTTCATGTCTACGTATATGCGGGAAGTGGGGGGAGAGGAGCGGGATATGTATAAACGGAGAGGGAGGAGAGCGAGCGTCCGGTCAGCAGTAGTGATGGCTCGGTCGACAAACCGTGGGGTCTCCGCAACGTTTGACCGCGCATTTTGTCTCGTCTTAGTGCTCACACTGCGACTTTTGCGACGACGACAGGGAGAAATGAACGGAGCCTGGGGGTGGGTGCGCTGGGACTAATTCATAATAAATAAGTTTTATAGGAAGGGATGATATTTGATAGATTCTGGTCCTGCTCTGTCTCTTCCATAATTTGGCAGCAGCTCAAAAACGGAAACAATGTCGGTTGTGGCTGTGAGTGGGCGGTGGTGTCTTCGAGGGAGCGCAACTCCGACTCCCGCGGGCGGCCGTTGCTGCTTGCGTTGGACTGCCTTTCTGGCACATGTGCCTTCCTCTGCCCATTTCCTGTTTTTTTTTTTTTTTTTTTTTTTTTTTTTTTTCCCTTTCCGTTCCTCTCGGTCATTTCCCGCCACAGCCTCGCCCTCTCGCCGGCAGTCCTCCGAAGACAGAAATAGCTTCAAGCCTGGTTTTCTTCATCCATCTTGTTTCACCTCTTTTTTGTCACCTTTTCTTCTTTTCCGATTTTAAAAAGGCCCTCTTCGCGAGCGACATACACTTTGCCGGACTTTTCTTTCTTCATTGAGGCTCTGCCGAACCGCGATTGCATTCCAGTGTTACGAGAATCACATTAACCAGCGAATGGTGGAATTTCAACAGATCAATCACGAACCACCAGTCTCGCTCTCACTTTCTCTGTCTCTCTCTCTCTCTCTCTCTCTCTCTCTCTCTCTTTGCTTTTACTCGGGGTTGACGCAGGAGCTGCCATTCTTCATTGTTTTATTAAGTGCTTTGCACTTGCGACCTTGCCGCGGCCATTCCGCTCCCTTCGCAAGGACAATACATTTCCCGTTAAAGCACTCGCTAAAGAGCGTGATACCGACGTCAGTAAGCACCTCGTGAGTCACGGTTTCTCGAGGCGCGTGAGAAAGAGTCTAAACAATCTACTCGGAGTGAGTGAAGTGTGAAGTGGAGACTGTGGCTTGCTCTCCCCATGAGCATCATGAGAACAATAACTGACAGTCACAATAGGTTTGGGAATGTCTTGTGCCTCTTGCTGCTAATCAATCAGTTCTGCCTAACAAAGAGCAAAATGGGCATCACATGCGGTTACAGGGCTCCACTTCGCCAGCAACGTTGTTTCATTCTCGGGAGCAGCGAACTTGTATTGGAGACTTTGACTGTCAACATCGTCAATGGCGGGGCTTCATCACGGTCTGCTCCACTCTGTGCCGAGATAGCAATGCCCACTAAATGGGGGGGCGGAATCAGCCGGCGACAACGGCAAGGGAATCTTTCCCTGTCCAGACAGACAAGAAATCCATTACGGTTTTCGAGTCCTGCCATTTCCGCCATTCTACTTCAAGCGACTTCGCAACTTTTATAAGTTTGCCTGTATCTAACTTGGGTGTGAGATAAATCTTCGATTGCAGTTTGGCAAAACCACCGGTGCTCGCAAGACGTTCGTCTATCATTGCAATGGTGTGGTAACATCGGATAATCCTGAGCGCTGCGAAGGGCACCGTCCCTTCTCATCTTCCCCGTGATCATATTAATAAATACACTCGGATGCTTAGTTTGCACAAGATCCTGTTTTGCACTTCCCACAGACAGGTTGCCGAATGCGTCAGGACGGAAAGGAAATGCCGAAGGGACGAGGTCATCTTATCCGTTCAAAACAAAAACAACGAGCGACGTGCCTTCTGCCGGAATCGGACCGACGACCTTATCCTACCAGCGGCGATTGCTCACCAACTACGAGGGATACGCTCTGCCAGCTGAGCTAAGAAGGCTGTTCAATATGGAAAAATTAGTTTATTATACAAAAGCTTCGCGGCCGACTGGAGTGCGGATTTAGTCGCGCTCGTAAAATGAAATGGGAGAGGCGACAAACTTTGGTCTTCCCTGGACTTGGCATGGAGATATAGGTGATCACATCAAACATTTCAAAGAAAAAGGGAGTCTTTGCGAAAACAAAAACAACAATCCTTGAAGATAAAATATTTACCGCGTCAGACCAAACCACCAGACAACACTCGAAAGATTGACCCAAACCCAAGAGAGGGACATCAAGTGCAGACGAAAGGCGTGATTTGCGGCTCGAGTGGACCCACGGCGATCTGCGTGAAAGTGCCGGCCCAGTGATCAGAACGCGCTGCGTGCGAATGTGGCAGATTTGAGCGCAAACAACCTCGGTGAAGAGAACAAGCGAGACTCTTGAGGAGTGTCTCGTTCGCGCCAGGTGGTTTCGGCTTTGACTCGCGCAGCTTCCGTCGTTACTTGCAAGGTCGAAGTGGCGCAGTTTATTTTGAGAAGGAAGTTCAGATCAAAAACAACTCGCCGCCGCAATGACGAACTGCCCCCCGCCGGCACTGTGACTAAGCATAAGGAAGAGGGGGGCACTAAAGTTGGGCAGAAGCGGCAGTCAGTCTGTGGGTGCAGATTATTCTGATTGCTTCCGGTAGTGTTTGTCGCGCACAGCTTCATCTCCTTTGAAGGCGACGACTTTCCGGTGATGCGACGCCAATGCATTTTTGACGATCTGAAGTTTTCTTAACCGGCGACCATTGGATCATCAGGCTGTCGAATCGTTCGATACAATGGGGCTCCGTGGGAGCTTGGTGCAAGGACTGACTGCCTTTGGGTGGGTAAGCGATGGCTTGCTTTCGCTCGCATCCCGATTCTTCGTTGTTCAGCTGCAACGAGCCAACCCTCATCCAGAGGTGTTACGAATTAATGATACATGATGATGATATACACGCTGTAATAGTTGCTAGGCAAGCGTGACCGGCACAGGGTAAAAACCTCTCCTATATTATCTGCTTTTGCAGAGGAGGAGGAAAACTGTTGACACTGGGTTTCTGTTCCACTTAATACTCGGAGTATTTGTCATCAGAGCAAGCCAGTGCCCAGGTCTGCATTGACAGTGGCTCGCTCTCCCATGGGCATAATGAGAACAATAACTGACAGTCACAATAGGTTCGGGCCCGTCTTGTGCCTCTTGCTGCTAACCAGTCAGTTCCGCCAACACATGATAGAGTTTTTCTCTTTCTCTCCAAGTTGGGGAGAAGGACCACCCACAAACACACATCTCCACTTCATTCACTCCTTCTACTCCCTCACACAGAGTAGACTGTTAACACAGCAGAAACACTCAGGGTGGAACAATTTAAACCAAAAGTGCAAACAGCCAAACAAGCTTTACGTGCCCTTCAGTCCTGCTCCTGCTTTGTCGAAAAAGGCAGGACTGAAACCTGTGCACCCAGAGAGTAACAGATTTTGAGTCTGTCACCTTAACCCAGGTGTTGACAAGGAACAATGGGTGCAAAAACAAGATCGTGTCCTCAGTAAGGCTGCATACCGCCAATGCGGTTAGCCAACATCTGCACTCTCCACTCTGCAGGATGGCAAGTCTGTTGTGGCAGAAGGTCACACACATCTGTATTTGTGGGTCGCAGAGACCTGATTTTTGAAGAATCTGCCCCAAAATTATGCAGATAATGCACTTCTCCGCATTCTCCACATCACAAAGGGCATTTTTGGGCCAAAACATTTGCAGTTGCTGGGCAGTTTTTCATGGAAGTCTGCTCCAAGTCCGGGGGGCACAGCCTTCATCCTCCTTTAATTGGGAGTGGGGTGGTTCAACAATTGGTTCGAGGATTTCACTGATTAATTCATGTGCCAGCTTCACTTCATGCAATGCTCAATGACAGAACTTTGCTCTTTTGCCACAACCCTAGCCTAGCCTTTCCTGCTCAGCAACATTATCATCAAACGTGGGAGTTAGTGGTAACCTCTACTGCTCTGCCAGAGGGGAATTGCTGCATCACAAGCAGAAAGCCAAGTGTCCAACAACATTAGCAATTTGTCGCCTTGCTTGGCATCAAATTAGAGGACAACGCATGCAGGGGTGCACTGTGGGCAAAATACGGTGGTTGCCGTTTCAGGTACTTTGGAGTCAGAGGTGAAAATTCTCCCTCCAAGCGCGAGGCTTTGCTCCTGGAGGGGCAAGCTCACATGACCCTGATTATGGCTTTTTTCATTCATTCTCCTGTTCCCAAATGTTTTGGTTTAGGAATAGGTGAGCATTTGCTCTGTAGGGTTTAACTCTGGCTAGATCCGCAATTTGACTCAATTTATTTTCCAGCTCGATGCAGAAAAACTTTTTTTTTTTCTCACTCGTTTCACACCTTTTCTCAATGTCATTTGCAAATCAATAAAGAAAAAATATAATTTTTTATGTTTTCTTCCTTTGTATTGAAAACAAAGTGCATTTGTTGTGGTGAGAAAACAAGAGGTTTTCAGTACAGCGCTGTAAGTTTTTAACCACAAATCACGAATATTTGCAATACACCTGACATTTGATTGGCCAAATTGCGCCAAATGGAACAGAAATTACCAGAGAAGAATTTTGAATCAAAGAGAAACAGCTTATTCAGCAAAAAACCATCTGATTTGATTTGATTCAATTTTTTGAATCAGACCCAAATCGGACCTTGTTTGGATTTGATTTGAGCAGTGTTAAGCCTTATCACTCTCTAAAGTGGGAGAGATGAGGGATGGGTGAGCCACCCACTTTCATCCTTTCTCTCTCCCTTCTTCCCTTTGTCTCTCTCTTTCTCCCTCTGTAATTTCTGATTTGTGGTGGTGGGGAAGCAGATGAAAATGAGCAAAGCACAACTGCTGTGTGTGGGACTGAATGAACTGGTCCTGTGTAGCGCTGCTGTCTCATCCTAATCCTGCCCAATTGGTGGGAACACACTAGCAAGGGAGAATTTGACACACAACACATGAGGCCTGAGGAGGAGCTTGCAAAGAGGGGTAACTCAAACATCACCAGCAAGCAAAGCTCCATTTCCCTAAAAATAAAAGAAAAAATAAATAAAAAAAACCAACAGTAAGGGGTGACAACAATTCTTGTATTGTGTGGCACAGCACAGGGACTTATAGCTCAGTGGTAGAGCGGTCGACTGCAGATCGACAGGTCGCCGGATCAACCCCGGCTGGGTCCTCCTCTCTCCTGGCGCCTGTAACTCCCAGGGGAAGCATTTCAATGACAGCAGGTTGACGCCCAAAAGGTGCAAAAGTGAGAGCCACAGGCCATGCTAGCATTTTGCTGTACTTTGACTGCTTGCTGGCTCTGAGCAAGAATAAAATGATCACACACCTAGGACCAAGTTCCCCAGTGTGTGTGTGCGTGAGGGGGACAGAGTGCATGAGAAGAGAGAGAGAGAGAGAGAGAGAGAGAGATTGAAGACAGACAAAAGGAGAGACGTGGTGAAAGTGTAAAAATGTTGTCTACTGTCACAAGCATGATACTGTGAGCACAGGCTGCCGTGGCGCAACTGGTTAGCGCGTGCGGCTGTTAGACATGTACAGCAAACCGCAAGGTTGGTGGTTCAAGTCCACCCGGTAGCGCTTTAGGACCTCCTGATCCCTCTTTGAAATGCTTAACAGTGCCAGCTTGAAAGCTCTGGGCTACCACCTGAAAAACAAGTAAAAATCAACTGTTGGTGGACTGGACAAGAGACAGCAGACCTGCTGAAACAAAAAAAGAAGCTTGCATGTGGGTATTTGGCTGTCAGTCTATAGTCATGATTTCCCTTTCATTTTCACTTGGTCACCCAAAGTTTTCAGGCTACTGCTGGATTTGATTGCTTCACCCAGTAGGACCGCAGCTTTCCCACCGTTTATTCCACTGTTTATTTTTGTGCAACTTGGATACCTCTCACAGCAGTAGTGTCATCTTGCTTTCACCACAAAATGAAGTGCATGTTGTTTCTGATTTTTCGTTGTTTTGACTCTTGAGCAGATTTCACTTTCTTCCAGCTCTTTTTCTTTCTTGTTTTTGTAATACCTTGCTCTGTTTTCAGATAAGTTGAAGGCTATTTGCACACCAAAAGAGCTTTGAGGAAACGTGCTAACAACTTAATAAACCAAAGTTTTTGGGCTAGAGCTGTAATATCAACACTCGACAATATCTTTCCAAAAATTGCCCTAACTCAATAGCCTTAATGCTGGAGAAACAATCAGTCAAACAGCTTGTGCATGTAAAACTATTTTTGTAAGGGCTTGGGGCTGCCATCCAAGAAGAGCACCAGGATGGCGGATAAATAGGAAAAGAAAAAATTTGTTTGTGCTGGAAAGGAAAAAAAATGAAAATTACGGTAGCGCCCAAAACAACTTTACAGATACAGATGACAGCCATTGTTGGTGGTAATGCTCAGTTTGGTGATGCAACAGGAAATTTTGCAAAACCTCTCTGACGGCCAGCAATATTTAAAAATAAAAAATAAAAAATAAAAATAAAAGGCCTTGCCTGTGTGTGGTGTGTGCATCCACCATATGGAGCAGGCAGAAGGTCAATGTGTACATGTGGAAAGCATAGCCTCTGTTTGTTCTGGAGGCAGGTCTTTGCAGTAGTTACCACCCCAACCCATCTCCCAGCCCTGCACCATTTTACACAAGGAGCAACATATTAAAGCCTTGTTGGGGGGCAGATGGCCGAGTTGGTCTAAGGCGCCAGATTAAGGCTCTGGTCTCTCTGGAGGCGTGGGTTCGAATCCCACTCTGCTCAATCCTCTCATTATCTCAGCCATCCTCTGTTGTAGTTTAACCTAACCGCTGCAGTGGAGGTGGCTTAACCATAACGGAACTGTCACTGCAAACTAAGAAGTTTAAATGGTCAACCAAGCAGGATCAACCCTCTCTCCTTGTGTTTACTGCACAAAAGACTCAACCATAGAGATCCTCCTTCACAGAATGAGCATTTTCAAAACTGAATCCTGACCAT